TTTCGTGATGAAAATCTAAGATTTGGATGAACATAAACTTCAGAGAAGGTCTGGTTCAAAATGCGGGTTCTGATTCAGTAGTTCTTGAGTTGGGCCTGAGTTTCCACATGTCTACCAAGCGCCCAGATGCTGCGGCTGCTGAGGCTGCTGGCCGGGAGACTGAAATTTGAGTTGCACGGTTTCAGATCTCTTCCACTTTTGACCAACTTCTGAGGGTTGACTCTAGGTGCTCGGTCAGCACGTTAGCACTTCAGTGATTTGAAAGGGAGACAGATGAACTGTTGGCTATTTGTGGGAATGAAGCCATTTTGTTCATTCAGAAGTTTGAGAAGATGAGGAGGGTAGGAACTCGTTACTATTAGATGAGTTTAATCACAAGGAGTGTGTATATCATTGGCATCAGGTTGTTCAGAGCCTGAAGAAGGTAAGAACTTTTGAAGTGGTACTCTGGTTCCTGCTGCTTAACTGAAAGCAAGATAAGATCAGATTCGTTAGGCAAGTTTTTTTTCCTTCCAAAACAGAACCACTTATTTTGACTAACTGAGCCTGACTTATAGTAAAAAGATAGAGTCATTGTATTTTTTAGAGACCTGCTGCTTTAGAAAGTGAAAAACTGGCTGCTTACCATTGTTGCTGAGATTTTAAATAATGCACTTTCACGTTACCCTTAATGTTACAGAATTATTGCCCTTAATCGCTTCCCAGAGAGAAAATGAAACTTAAGGGTCAATTCTTTTTCCCTGCTTCTATCTCCATTTTGCTGCATGGCTTTAAGAAAATCACTTAAAGCCCTAAGTTTCAAGTTCCCATGGTGAAAAATAGAACTCAAGGCTCTTGCCTTGTTCCCTGTAGAGTACTTACTGAAATCAGGGGGCTCCGAGGTAGATTTCAATTGCTAAAAAAAAAAAAAAAAGGATTAACACTGTAGCATTTTATATTTATTCAGTATGTTAGGTGTAGGAACATCTCAAACTATTTCATGTAAAATCTAAAACTTAACGACAAAACCTACACAAAATAAAACACTTCATATGACATTATCAGCAATTAAGTGGCCTTTTGTCTTGTGTCACAAGTCAAATGAAACCATTTAGAGTGTTTTAGAAGGATTTTCTTGCCCTGTAGGTAATCAGTATCGATGAATATTGATTAAAGCTACAGGGATTTAACTCACCTATTTAAAGACTTGTAGTTCTAAAGAGGATTACTAGCAAATGTGGTCTATTATTCAGGCATGACCCTCTGTTTGAAAGGCTTTAGCACCGTATGTTCTTACAAATTTAAACACATTTATTTTAACCAGAGGTGGGTGCTTGGAGGTCCTAATCAAAGATCTAATATTGACTGAAACTTGTGCTGCAGAATAACAGTCTGAAAAAATGTATTAAATAAAAGCTTACTGATTCAGTTCAGATTCATACTTGGAAATAATTCCCTATAAAGATCACTTCGCTGTGACATTAAAGTTTGCTGGGAAAATTGTGTTACCAAATATCGACTTTAGAGAGGCGGGCACTGGACTGGGCAGTGCTTGCTTCTGTTATGCATAGGGCTGGTGTGAGTTAGAGCTGACTCAATGACACCTAACAAAATAGCAACAATCATAGTAGTACAATATAATAAGTTCTATATACATATTACAGTGTGAGGATCGAGAGTTGGGCCTCTGGAGTCAAGTGGGCCTGACTTCAATCCCCATTTGGCTACATGTCCTTTAGTGTGGCTTTGGTGACTTCTCAAAATATCAGTTTCATCATCTGTAAAATGAATCCCACAATATAAATTGATGTGCAGTTCAAAAGAGATAATGTGTGTAAGACTCTTGGTGTAGTAGAAACAAATTATACAAATAAGTGATAAGCAGACATTGACACCCAGTCATGGTGGAGAATAATTACTCCAGAAAATGACAAGCTGTCTTCAATTACTCAATTTCATTTCAAATTACTCCCGGAAAGATTTTGCCCTGTAAGGTCTCGATGGGTTGGAATTGACTTGATGGCACTGAGTTTGGTTTTACTATCATATCATATAGTGTATTATTATTACATGCCAAAAGGTTGATGGTTTGAACCTGCCAGCAGTTTCACATGAGAAAAGCCTTGGAGTCTGTTTGCATACAGATTACAGGCTCTGAAAACTTATAAGACAGTTCTACTTTGTCCTATGGGGATCAACTTGACAGCATACCACAACCATATATTATAAAGCAAATGAATATATAAAACCAAACCTACTTCAATGAGTCAACTCTGACTCATATTGACCCTCTGTAGGGTTTCTTAGGCTGCAAATATTTCATCCATGGAGCAGCTGGTGGGTTCAAATCGCCAACCTTGCTGTTTGTGGCTCAATGCTCATGTTAGCCACCTAGGCTCCTTAAACTAATGCATAGTAGTACTATATTTCTATATATTACAATAAACTCACTTCTCTCAGGTTAATTTCAACTCACAGAGACCTTATAAGAGAGATCGAGGGCTTTTATGTATTAAAACAATAACATTATGTTGCTGTTTCATTAATATGTTAATATTTTTAAGTCCCTTAACCTAGTGAAATGCTGTTTTCACATTAATGCTTTATATGTGCTTAATGGCAATGACTCCCCAACTAATATGCCTGACCTCTTTTATGATTTTGTGTTCCACCTTTTTTCCTCCAGAGCATTTGGTAGTGATAGCCAGACACCCTCTAAATTCTTCTGGTCTCAGGGATGTGGACAGTGATGTTTGCATGGTCCACTGGTCAATTGCACTAAATGTTTCCATGTGTGTTTCCAGTTGTATCACTTTTCTTTCCTTCAGATGGGGAGAAACCAATAGTTTCAAGTTAGGTGGCCCTTCACGAGCTTTCAAGACCCCAGTCACTACTCACCAAAGTAGGATGTACACCAATGTATTTGTGGGCTCTGTTATGGACATTGACTTTGGTGTCTCCCGGACTATGGTCCTACGCTCGTAGGCTCAGTGACTTATTTTCTCAAGATGTTTGGCTATCTCTTAGAAGTTTTCTTCACTTTTCCCAATGTATGTGTGGCACCATCTTCATGGATTTAGTTGCAGCAAAGGTACCTGCATACCTGCATACAATTACCTGCATACAAAAATCCTCTGTCAAACATATATTTGTGGGTATACTCCAAGTCTCCTTCCCTTGCCTGTTCATGCATCTACTTGGAGACCAGGTGATTGCAGGATTGGCTATGTAATAGGATTTACCTTTCGTCCTTGTGCTCCTCCCAGTGTCTTCCCCTGCCTCCATTATTTTTGCCAAATTCCCTCTTACTGTGCCGTCTTTCTCTTCACCCAAGTGAACACCTATTTACCCTTTAGCTGGTGACTTATCCTCCTTTGCCTCTTTCCCCTGGTACCATCACGATCAAAGGATGTTTCTTTTAGTGTGAACTTTTGAATTTTTACAATAGTGTTGTCATGCAATAGTTATCCTTTGGTGATGGACTAATTTGGCTCAACATAATGTCCTTCATGATCCTCTATGCTATGAGCTGTTCCCACGTTTCATCGTTATTCTATAATGTTTCATAGTACTCCATTGTTTGTATATATCAAAGCTTCCTTTTCCATTCTTCTGATGATGAGAATTTAGGTTATTTCTCCTGACACTATAGTCGTTCGTCAGCTCCCGGACAGAACTTGCTCCCATGGCTCCATTTTTAGCCAAACAATATACATATCTATAAGGGGGGACGATAATACTAGTGAAGTATGTGCACCTTAAAATAATCAGCCACTTGTGATACAAAGGGTAGTGTTTACCCAAGGGCATAGTTCAGAAGTTCAGGAGGGTTAGGCAAGAAGGAGGACTGGGAACAGGAAAATAGGGAGGAAGAAGAATAAATGATGTTACATTGAGGGGCTGGCAATGAATGAGAGAGATGAAACAAAATGTGCATGAATTGTTGAATGGAAAACTGATGGCTTGCACGTTAAACCTTCCCCTAGAGCACAATAAAAAGTTTTTAAAAATAGTAATTGAATGATGTAGGAGAAGAGGATGGAGAGTTGACTACTGTGGAAGAAGACGGACTGGTGCTGGAGATTCCAGGTTTGATTCTACTGTGGGCTTGGAGGATTTCCTAATGGAGTCCATTTCTTTAAGTAAGCATCAAGGGAGGTTTGTACAGTGCCCCCCCCCCCGCCAATAAATTGTCTTATAGCATCTGGGGTTCTTGGTAAACTGTACGAAACATTTTGATGACCCTTTCTGTCTTGGGATCTTGCTTCTCCAACTTTGCTATCTCTACTTCAAAGAACAGCGCCTCTGTGGTGCAGTGGTTACGAGTTGGGCTGCAGTGCACAGGGTCAGCAGCTGGATACTAGCAGCTCTGTGGGGGAAAGACTGGACTTTCTACTCGAGTAGACAGTGACAGTCTTGGAAACCCACAGGGGCAGTTCTGCAGGGTCGATATCGACTCGATGTCAGTGAGTTTTTTGAGAGGATTGATGGCAGGCTGTTCTTAGGTAGGAGTTGTCTATAAACCAGAGGTTCTAAACCCAGGCCCCATAGTTACTCAAGTATGACTAATAGTTACTAGTTCTCAAAACATCTCCTACATTAAACACTCTTCTGATTTTCGGTACTTTGGAGAAATTTGTAATTTCACAAATGGTTTCCCGGCTGCAGTTGTAAGATTCCTTCAATAAATTTCTTTGCTTAAAAATTTAACAAGATGATAATTGGTGAGAACTATTTAATTCACAGTTTCTACCAATTCCAACAGGCCCCTAGTTCTCTTCTGTCCAAATAATCTGTCAACTAGGCACATCAGGTCCTTAGAAGTATATATTTTAAAAAGGCAGACTTGGAATTGTGATTAGGCAGTTTGCAGCAAGTTAGAAATGCTCAGCTTTCCCCCATATGAATGCAATGGTTCCGTGTCCCAGCATGAGTAACTTTACTCTGAAAAGGCAAGCTCAAATGGAGAGCAGTCGTTGTTCGTTTGGAGTTTCTCAGTAATCAAGTTTGTTCTTTCGCAGGTTTCAAGGTTACATTTATACGTATCGAGTGTCCCAGACAGAAACCGGTTCTTGGAGTGCTGAGGTATTGCTCATTTATTTATGTTTGCTTCTGACGGTCTCGTGGAAGTGTTTGAAGTTTTGGCTGGTTTAACAAACGCATAATCAAATCGTAAATCATTAGAATGTCCATCAGATCATTGAGATGTCTTGAGAGAATTTTGGTTCCAGTTCTGACTGTCCACCTTGGTATAGAGTAATCTGAATCTGGAAGCAAGATTTTTTTAAATTAATCATTTTATAGTGGGGCTCTTACAAATCTTATGATAGATAATCCATCATTCAATGGTTTTAAGCACACTTGTACATATGTTTCCCTCAGCATTTCCAAAACATTTTCTTTCTTCTTGAGCCCTTGGTATCAGCTCCTCTTTTCCCCCTCCTTTCCCCACCCTCCCACCATCATGAATCCTTGATTGATTATATATTATTATTGTTATTTTGTGTCTTACACTGTCCGCTGTCTCCCTTCACCCACATTTTTGTTTCTCATCCCCCTGGGGGGTGGGCTATATATCCAACCCTGTGATGGGATCCCCCTTTCTCCCCCTCCTCTCCCACTGTGGGGGAAATGGCCGGCCTCCCACGACTAATCGCAGGTTCGATAGGCGTAATTATACGGTTAATAAAGATTATAATAAGGTCATAGAGAGCATGAGAGATAAAAGAGAGACTGAAACAATGGAATCAGACACATTTCATGGTAGTATGCTCACATCAACCCCGCTTGGTGGTTCACGTGGAGATGGGAGGCCTGAGGGCAGGAGAGAGGGGGAGTGGAAGGAGGACAAGGGGAAAGGGAACAGGGGAGAGAGGATTGAGACGAGAGGGAGCCTACGAGAGGCCAAGAGGGATCTTTGTTGCTAACCCAGGCTTATATATCTTTGGAGGGTGTGCAAGCCCACTAATTATAGGTAAAGACACACGTCACAGGAAGGGGTTGCACAGGTTTGCATAGGTTATACAGCAATGAGAGGCGGACAATCTAGGGATATACATGCAATAGGAAGAGGAGGGATTGGGGGTATACAAGTGACAAGAAGGGCACTTCCTAGATTCAGGATGGCAGCCTAACTTTGGATGTCACTGAGCCGGTTCGACCTGTTCTCTGGCTCACCATAGAATAAGGTGACCAGACATCCCACTTTTGGTGGGACAGTCCCGATTTTTGGTGTTTCAAAAAAGTCTCGATTTTTTGGAAATAATGCACAACAAGCTAGGGAATGATCTATTTGGTCCGCATAGCCCAAATCTTTAATGAAGAACACCCCCCACACCCCACACCCCCTGGTCAATGGTGTCCCGCTTTAAATCTGGTGACCTTACTATAGCAACCATTACCAGTAGGGACCAAACTGATGACTATAAACCTTTAGGGAGAAGTAGCCCATTGTCCTTAACAGCAGGGAAGGGGCCCTACCTGTGGTGGAACCAGACAATAGTCTGGCAACTGACTGCCTTCAGGGAGGATGTCTCTAAGATCTGACCTCCCACCATATGCTGGCAAATAGCCTCTAATGTTTGGCATGTCTTTGGGGGAGACTAAACTGGGGAAAACTCTCTTTATAATCCCACATACCACCCCACCATCCCCCTACCCTCATGATATTGTACTCCCACTATTGTTCCTGAGGGTATTATCTATCCTGAATTCCATGTGTCCTGAGCTCTTATCTGTACCAAGGTGTGTACTCCAGTCTAGCCTGATTTGTAAGGTGGAACTGGGTCATGGTAGTGGGGGGTGGGGGAGGAAGCATTCAGGAACTAGAGGAATGATGTGTGTTTTGTCGGTGCTATACTGCACCCTGGTTGAATCGTTCCTTTCTTATAACCCTTCGGTGGGGGGAGAGCCACTTTTCTACAGATGGGCTATGAGTTTCCACTCCAATTCCCCTATTTCACGTTGATATAATTGTTTGTTTTGGATCTTTTGATAGCTTGTACCTGATCCCATGCACACCTCATGAAGCAAGGTAGATTTTTAAAAATCATTTTATTAGGGGCTCATACAACTCTTATCACAATCCAAACAAACAACAATTGTGTAAAGCACATTTGTACATACATTGCCCTCATCATTCTCAAAGCATCTGCTCTCCACCCAAGCCCCTGGCATCAGCTCCTTGTTTTTCCCCTCCCTCCCGGCTCCTCCCTCCCTCATGAACCCTTGATAATTTACAGATTATTAATTTGTCATATCTTGCATTGTCCGACTTCTCCCTTCACCCCCTTTTCTGTTGTCCATCCCCCAGGGAGGAGGTTATATGTAGATCATTGTTGGTTCCCCCTTTCCAACCCACCCTCCCTCCATATTCCCAGTATCGCCACTCATACCACTGATCCTGAAGGGATCATCCTCCCTGGATTCCCTATGTTTCCAGTTCCTATCTGTACCAGTGTACATCCTCTGGTGTAGCCATATTTGTAAGGTAGAATTGGGATCATGATAGTGGGGGGAGAAGAACCATTTAGGAACTAGAGGAAAGTTGTATGTTTCATCATTGCTACACCGCACCCTGACTGGCTCGTCTCCTCCCCGAGACCTTTCTGTAAGGGGATGTCAGTGGCCTACAAATGGGCTTTGGGTCTCCACTCCGCACTCCCCCCTTCATTCACAATGATATAATTTTTGCTCTGATGATGTCTGATACCTGATCCATTCGACACTTTGTGATCACACAGGCTGGTGTGCTTCTTCCATGTAGGCTTTGTTGCTTCTGAGCTAGATGGCCGCTTGTTTACCTTCAAGCCTTTAAGATCCCAGATGCTATATCGTTTGATAGCCGGACACCATCAGCTTTCTTCATCATATTTGCTTATGTGCCCATTTGTGTTCAGCGATCGATCATATCAGGGAGGTGAGCACACAATGACGTGACTTTTGTTCTTTGATGCCTGACAACTGATCCCTTTGGCACCTCGTGGTCACGCAGGCTGGTGTGCTTCTTCCATGTGTGCTTTGTTGCTTCTGAGCTAGATGGTCCCTTGTTTATCTTCAAGCCTTTATCTTCAAGCCAGATGCTATATCGTTTGATAGCCGGGCACCATCAGCTTTCTTCACCACATTTGCTTATGCATCCACTTTGTCTTCAGCGATTGTGTCGGAAGGTGTGCATCATAGCATGCCAATTTAATAGAACAAAGTATTCTTGCAATGAGGGAGTACTTGAGTGGAGGCCCAATGTGAAGAAAGCAAGATTTTTAAGAGCTGAAACAATGTGTTAGAAGTTCAGTGACCATCAGACTCGACCAGAAAACACTCCTAATGGTCAACAAACAGACCTTGAACTATTTATAGTCTTTGCTTTTGTATTTGTTTGCTGTTGTTGTTATTTTGTTGATTTGTTTTGCTCTGTCTTATTTTTTGTGCATATTATTATCTTATTATCTCTGCAGTTCTATCTACATAAGACAGGCTGGATAAACAATCTGGAGGAGAAAGCAATGGGAATGATGGTTCTGGGGGATATGGGAGAGGGAGAGGTGGGGGGAAAGGTAGTGGTGTTAACCCACCCAGGGACAAGGGAAAAACAAGTGATCTAAAATCAGTGGCAAGGAGGGTGTAAGAGGCCTGGTAGGGATTGATCAAGGACAATGTAACCAAGAGGAATTACTGAAACCCAAATGAAG